GACGCAAGAACATGAAACAGGCAAACCAAAAACATACAAGTCTACAGAAACGGAAGACCGAAAAAAATAAAAGTTGATGATAACAAGATTGTTTCATCAGCGTTGCACCGACTCATCAGGAGGCTGAACCCTCGACAACCTGCGGAATCCCCATATTTGATGGTTTGGGTCATGAACCCTTTGACCCATGTTGAAGGCAGACTGTCTCCAAGCGGAACATAGCAGCGGGCAGCAACCCTGTGGACCACCAGGCAACACAGTAGAGGCAACATGGCTGTGCAACACCAAAAACGACTGCAAGGAATGACATGGCATGCAGGGCATGCAGTGAGGCAACCGTGTAGTGAAGCACAAGACAACACAAGCAAGGCAACAGCACTGCAGGGGACAACAGGGTGAGCAGACCAGCAGCTCGGCAACCGTGGAGCGGAGCACAAGGCACCAGCAACAAGGCAACCAACCTACAGGGCACACCAGCGGCAAACACGGAAGGCACGGCCAGCAGATGAGCAGCACGGCAGCAGAGCAGCGAAGCGCAAGGCAACACCAACAACACGGCCACACTGCACAGCGAACACAGCAATATGCAGAGAACCGAATGCGACGCCAGCGGGACAGGCAACAAGGCACCAGCAGAGCGCAGACGAGGCAGTCCACACATCCAACACGGAGCAAAGCAGCACATGACCTACTCACATCACGATTGAATCCCGCAGGCTGTTGGTTCCCACCACCCGCTGAGCCAGGGAGTCACTCCACGAACATTTGTCATCACCTACAGGCAACACAGACAAACCGAACTGAGCGGTCCCCATAAGAGTGCAGTAGGCTCTCCAAACGAGGAACCACCGACTATTTGGCACTACTTAAGGGTGCTCAGTTGGGCCACACAAAGTAAATACTTAGAAAAAATCAGGGGGAGGACGGACAACAGAAGAACGACCGACATGCATAAAACTGATTTTGCGCGCGTGTGTAAGTGTGTGTGTGTGGGTGGGTGGGTGGGTTTGTGTGTGTGTGTGAGAGAGAGAGACAGAGAGACAGACAGAGAGAGAGAGAGAGAGAGAGAGAGAGAGAGAGAGAGAGAGAGAGAGAGAGAGAGAGAGAGAGAGAGAGATGGCAGGAAGAGGGGGAGAGAGAGAGTAGCAATGGTGGATGGAGGAAGGCGGGAGAAAGGCCGAAGGTGGGAAGCGGCAGAAGAAGTCGGGAAAAGAGAGAGAGAGAGAGAGAGCAGGTAACTCTCCAACCTCGTGGCTGGCCTCCTGGTACTCCCACATTTGTTTTTGTGTGTGTGTTTTTTTTTTTTTGTGTGTGTATAAAGCAAAACATTTGCAAAGGAAGCAAACGAACAACCCGTGAAAAACGGGAACCACACAATGTATATTCGTCCTATAAAGCATTGAAGCACAGACCAGTCATTCCAGTACATCCTGTCATTCAACCGAATTGGTCGCCATAACATGCATCAGCATTTGCAAAGGGACAAGGAGAGCAGGGAAAAAGGAATGAAAAGAGATAGTGGATGCGCGGGGGCAAGAGAGGGAGAGTGTGTGAAAGAGAGATACGACTGAGGAGGAGAGAGAAGAGAGATTGAGGGAGGATGACAGCCCCTATATCTGGTAGTTCGATTACTACTCAGAGAAGGGGAGGGAGGCGTCTGCGCCCATCGAACGGCTCATCAGAGGGTAGTAGGACAAGAGGTCCAATCTCTGGAGAGGAGAAGAAGAAGGGGAACATAGAGGGGAGATAGGAGTAATCAGAGGTAGGAGGGAGGTGGAGAGGAAGAGGAAGGGGGTATAGAGAGATGGAGAGAGAAGTACGGCTCGTGTGAATAGGAGTTGGGAAAGGGAATATGTGCATGGGCGAGGGAGGGAGAGAAAGGGGGAGCGAGGAAATAAGATACGCATAGAGAGGAGAGAAGGAGGGAGAATGAGAGGGGGGGCGGGGGTTGTGGGAAGGTTTCGTACGAGGGGTTGTGTGTCTGGGGGGAGAGAGTGAGGGGGGAGGCATTTACCGCATGTGCATTGATCTCCGCATCAGAGATTGCGTCGGCGCTGTTGGAGGCCATATTATCTCTTGTGGTGTTGTGAAACGGTATTCACCAGTTCGCAGTAGCCGATGCAGATCCCAGGGCTCAATCCCTAGTCCCCACCTTACCTGTGTACAGTATCTGTGTCGACCCCTAGAGTTGAACCCGTGACCTGTGTATTTGTAACAGTTGGTAGGCTGTCGTAGGGTCCATAGGTAGCAGGGGTTTGATCTGTAGACCTGTCGAGTAGGAGTCTCAGTCAGGTCTAGAAGTGGTAGCTGTAGCTTTCCCGAAGGGTCAAGGTCGTAGCTGCTACAGTCCAGAAAGGTCAAGGTCGTAGCTGCTACAGTATCGAAAGGCCAAGTCGACGGCCTTCCGGAAGGTCCGAGTAGTGGCCTTTCGAAGTTGCCCATGTTTAGGCTGGGGCAAGTGGGCAAGTGGTGGAGTCTACCCGTGCTGAGTCAGCAGTTCCAGTCCCAGTCAGCCCTGGTCCAGTCAAGCAAGTACCGCATGGGACTATGTGCACTATGGGCGTGGGAAAGGGCCAGACCAACGAGCTGCAGAAGTATAAATCAAAGGGCAGCGCCCAGCCATTCATTCATTCCTGCGTGAGCCATGCGGAAGCGCTGCCACAAGCGACTTGTGCGAGGTGGTCTGCAGTGAGCCCGAGGACGAAGTGGGCAAGAGAGAAGAAGCTTAGCCATAGCGATAGGTTAGCAGCGGCCATAGCCGCCATAGCTGTAGATAGAGTTCAGTGTGTGTGTGTGTGTGCACAGAGTATCGCGTGTGGGATATCCAGGGTGATCCTGTGTGTGCGAACAGAGAGTTGTGTGGGCGCTGAGTCGCCATAGCCATTGAAGTGAACTTGTACCTGAACTGTGTTCTTGGGTACCATATCTCTGAGTTTTGAGTGGGCGCTTGTCGCCAGTTTGCTGCACACCTGTTTGCACACTTGCGAAGTGTGAATGAGAGCGAGTCTGATTTCAGTTGAGCAACTGTGTGCCCGATGATCGATAGCACGCTTCAAGCTGGTGAGTGAGGTCTTGTAGTCACGATGTGGCAGAGTCAGACCGCCGGTTTCTCAAAGAGAGGCAGTGGGTGGATGCTTCCGCTGATCCGGCTTGCAGAGAGTGGTTGGCGTAGCTTGTGCTTCAGAGGAGAACTCCGCTTGCGAGTGAGGAAGAAGGAAGAGTGGGAAAGTCTAATAAGTACGATCATGGTATGAGCAGCGAGTAGGATCTGTGGTGGAGTTGGGGATGTGTGGGTATGGTAGAGGGTAGTGGAGGAGGGTTGAGATGTAATTGCCATGATGGAAGGTAGTAGTCGGAGGGGTATGGGGGGTGGGGGATAGTGCTAAGTGATTGAAGGCCGCGCGGTGGCAAGGCACTCGGTGTGTGAGAATATCTTATTCTGTATGCAGGGGGCCACGTATCGCAGGTTGCGATTTTTTTCTGGCTCCGTCGTGTAATTTTTTGGGGGGAGGGGGTGTCAGAGATATGGGGGGTTGACTAGTGTTTGTCTTTGTGAGTTTACTGTCTCTTTGGAGCGAGTTTTCCGGCTATGGCGACGTTTCGTATTGTGTCCAGTAGCTTGGGGGTGGGGTAGTTTCCGCTAGTCGTTTGTCGGAGTCTTGTGGGGCGGGGTAGTCAGTACTTTGTCCTATTGGTGAGCTTTTTTTGTTGTGTATTGGTGGGACTATTTTGAATGTGGTGGTATGCTTGTAATTTTTCTGGGACGACACTAAACAAGATACTTTGAGGGTTATTGAGGGGGGGGGTTGTACGGGGGGTTGGGGTAGAGGTTATTTATGCTGGGTGTTGGGTTGAGGATAGTAGTTCTAAATGGATGGACTGGGGATTGGGGTTATTTAGTGAGTACGCGTGCAGGACTTAGAGGCTAGTGTGGTGGGGGACGGGAGGTGGGAAGTATGGAGGTCAGGTAAGTTGGCCGTGGGTCCTATTTGAGAGAGGGAGCAGAAGGTATATGTATTTCAAGAAGTGTAGTCAGCAAGCGTGTGTTTAGCCGGTTTATTTGAGTGAGCATATACGTCCATATATGAATGTTATATATAGTTTCCACTTATATATTTTCAATATATTTGTTTTTATGTGAGTGTCCTAGTTTGTTAGTTGTTATAAGCATATGGATGAGTGCGTGTATATGTGTG